GGTGCAGTTTTGCTGATGCTGCTCTCACAGGTTAGTTATATGTGTGGTGTGAAAAGGGCCTTGCTGCAAAGAAGAGTAGAGTTAACGAGAGAGGCAGATTTCCCCCAGTGAACAGACACCATTAATCCTCTTGCTCTTAAATCCTAGTGTTGATCTACTTATCTTTGGATGGCCGACATGTGACTTTAGACATGAGGCCTGAGAATGTTCACTTCACATTTACCTCACCATCAGACAGGCCTACAGCCATGCACGAACCCCAGTTGATTTGATTTTCAAAATGCCCACCCATGCATGAAAATTATTTGGGCTAATATTGCCCAAAACCCCTAGCTTTTTGGAATTTAAAACTTTTGTGTGTGTGTGATGTCTGTCTCTGTCTTTTTGAGGCTGAAAGTGCCACAACAGTGTTTAAATGAACACAGAAATGTTGCCATTTTACTTTGCCATAGACTTGTAATGAAAAAAAGATGGAAAGTTAGGAATATGTTATTTTCCATAAGGAAAGTGGAAGAAATCTTAAAAAAAAAAGGTATTATAAAAGAAGTCCATGCAAGTTTCCAAAACTTAGCAAATATGAATATTCACAACCACAAATGGTTAATACATTTTGCTAGATCCTAATGACTAAGATTATGAATGAAGGATGTTTGTATTTATTTGTATGTGATTTGGCACAATATAATGTTTCTTTGTGTGTTTCAGATGGAGAACTGTACACAGGAACCGTGGCAGACTACAGGGGAACTCGGCCTGTGATTTCACGCCACTTGAGCGAAGGCAGCCATGTTGATCTGAAACTGGATGATACACTTGGCTGGTTAGAAGGTAAGAAAACTTTTTTTTTTTTGTTTATGCTGCCACAAAAGCAAAGAGAGTTAGAATTTACTGATTCTAATTTTGCTTTACTGTCTACTCATAACTTATCCTGTTTTCTATTCACTACACTATTCCAGATCCTACATTCATCAGCTCCACGTACGTTCCCAGTGAGGAGAAGGTTTATTTCTTCTTTAGTGAGATTGGAAAAGAATATGACTTCATTGACAAGTTTACAGTGTCTCGCGTTGCCCAAGTTTGCACCGTAAGTATTGTTTTAGATGCATTTCTTGTGTTTGTGCGCTTGTCGCCGCTAGCATGTTTGCAGTCTTCAAATGAAAGATTCGTTGGTTTTATTAAGATGTCATTCTAAAGGAGGTGTTAATCTGTTTTTAGAGTGATGTGGGAGGCCAGCGTACTCTGCAAAAACGCTGGACCACCTTTGCCAAGGCTCAG